ATCTAGGCAGCGCTGCTTGATTGTAAGCAGCCTTGCCTTATTTAGAGTGCGGTTTGATATTACACTTGATAGTAATTCTTGTTTGTCTTAGAGGTACTCAGTCCGTTGTTGATGTTCTCGGGGTAAACGTGCTGGGTTTGAGCTAGCTCTTGAACCGGTTAAATCTGATCTTAAACCGGTGCAGCCGGTACTTCTGTATCATTGTGTGGTGTTCTTACATAACCGGATCTGCGAAGATAAGCTACATGGTCTCTAAGATGTTGTTTAGAGATGTGATTAAGCTCTGGGTGTCTGTCGCGCCACAATCCATTCATTTTTGCCATGTAACCTCTTCGTATGCGTCCAAAAAATCTTCCCTGAGTTTATCCGTCCATCAAAAGCGTCCATTTCTATTGCCGGGGTCGTTATCGGGCATCCGTCCTGGTGCTCATTCCTCTTGCCCATCGCCCCCATCCGAGAAGGGTGGATTGTCAGGAGCGTGCTCTACATTACTAGTCGTAACAATGCGAGATCTCAGCACCCTGGGATGTTACCACAGGGCACTTCGACGAGTTACGGTATTGCATGGGCTACCGGATCGATTTATTTATTATTATTATTAATATTTTTTTTCGGTAGAGGTAAAATCTCTTACGGACACCAAGCGCTTAGATATTTTGTGACAAGGTAGTGTAATACTCCAGTGCGGTAGGTGCAGGCACTGTATACTCACCAAAACACCTCCAAGTTTTCTTAATATTTTATCTAGAACTGCCATTAGCAATACTTCAGATAAGGGTTACTTTACATATTTTCCATGCATTTATATTATTTCGACTGCTTCTTCTGTCCCTAATCATTACTCGTCTTTTTCTTTAATACTTAATATTTGCCGTATCATGGCTGCTACCTCTTCCCATTTTTTGCTAATTTCCAACATTATCTCAATTACATTGTTTGCAGATATATCTTTTCCCAGTTTATGCACCGTCTCGTTTTTGATCTCTTGCCACCTACTACATCTAAAAACAGTGTGTTCAACGGTATCCAGTTCTCCACAGTAGATACATTGAGGGCTTTCCCTTACCTTAAACCTATGCAGGTATTGCCTAAAACATCTATGCCCACTCAAGAATTATGTTAGTTGGTAGTTTATGTCGCTGTGTTATCTATTTATCCATTTTTGTAGATCCCTTATTAGCCTTTTGTACCAGACTGCCTTTCCGTTCTGAGTATTCCATCGATCTAGCCATTTTCTAATGATACTTTCTTTTATATTTTTCCTTTCCTCCGGGTCTTTATATATTTTTGATCGTTCTTTTACCATTAAATCAATAGGTATTACACCTGCGATCGCCAACAGTGAATCTGTTGATATAGTTCGATAAGCACTACATACCCTTATTAATATACGTCTATATAGTCTTTCTATCACGTTTCTAATGTGTTTTTTCTGCATTGCTGTTTCCCACACTGGTGCAGCATACAAAACAGTACAGTGAACAACTGACGCTAGTACTTTCCGTCTGCTCGACTTTGGTCCTCCTACATTCGGCATCAGCCTACTGAGAGCAGCTATTGTTTTTTTCGCTTTTTTACATGTATTTGAAATATGATTTTTCATTGTGTTATTTCTGCTGAAAGTGACACCTAGATACTTGATGCATGGCCTACTTTGTATTTTTACCTCGTACATTTCGATTGTAATGTGCTTGAGGTTATTTCTCCCTTCCAAAATGACGGCTTTAGTTTTTTCGGTAGCTAATCTTAGTCCTCCTCTTTCTATCTCCCTTGATATACATGCTAATGCTGCATTTGCCTTTGCTGTTAGGGCTGTTTTGTTTTTATCTTCTATCAATATAGCAGTATCGCCAGCATAACCTATCACTTCAACTCCATTAGACACTTTTGTTCTTATGACCTTATCATAAAATAGGTTCCATAGAAGAGGACCCAGTACGGACTCCTGTGGTAACATCTTTTTCTTTTCTTCCTATTATTAATTTTCTATTATGTAGGTAACTACGTTCTTAGATAAGGGCTAATTTTTCTTCTTTTTATTTCTTCCATAATATAATGCCACCTTGCTGTATTAAATTCGTTTGCAATATCTAGAATTTTCTTGTTTGCATAAGTACTTTGTTTAATCGTTTCTATTTTCGTCATAATCTTTATCATTACGTCTACCGTTGAATGTTTTTTTCTAAAACCAAGTTGGTTCTCTGCTATATCTGCCCTATCCTTAATATCTCTGTTAATTCTTTCTGCTATAAGGTACTCCAATAACTTTCCCAATGTGTCCAGCAGACATGTTGGTCTATATTTTGTTGCTGTATCTTCTGGCTTCCTAGGTTTTTCTAAAAGAACTAGTGTAGCTCTTTTCCATATTTCCAGAAATTTTCCTGCTTTGAGCAGCTCATTAAATAGGTTTAGCATATATTCTGGATATGCACAAACTACTGCCTTAATAATTTCCGTAGTTATTCCATCTGAGCCAGGAGATTTCTTACACTTGAGTTTGGCATTGGCTTCTTTCATTTCTGGCACCGTGATTTTTACTCTCAGTTCTTTCCAGTTGTGTTTATTATCTTGCGGAAATAAATTTCTGGCAATATTTAGCTGTTCCTCTTTTGGTAATTCAATATTAGACCGTTTATGTAATTTCTTCGTTACGATTTTATACCCATCTCCCCATATATTGTTGTCGATATCAGCACAGAGCTCGGTCCTTGACTGTTGTTTAGCCTTGTTAATTGCGTTCTTTAATTCCTTTCGTGCGTTCTGATGTCCTTGTTTTAGGTTCTCTTTTTCTTCTTTACTAAGTGTACAGCTTCTATTTGCTCTTGTCACTTTTCGTTTTGCCCTAAGCATCTTTTTCTAGTCTCTCTTATCGTTTCATTCATTATACAGACTGCCCTTCTTTTTTGTAATCCCCCTTTTTGTTGAAGGTCGTATTTGCAGCATTTTTAATTGCTAGCGTAATTTTTTTTCTTTGTTGTCTTCAGTAATTGTCTGGAGTTCTCTTCCTACGTTAATAATGAATTCTGGTATTTTGGAGTTATCGATCTTCCATCTTTTTTTTGTAATGTTATTTTTGTATCCGGATTGTAAATCTATTTTGTACAGAATATTTTGGTGCAGGCTGAAATTTTCTTGATCCAGTACTTCCCATTTATTTACTTTATTGACAATACTTTCCGATGTTAGGGTCACGTATATATACGACCTACTGTTTCCACGAACAAAGGTAGAGTTTTCTCCTTTATTTTGTACTATTAAAGCATGTTCGCCTATTAGTTCACTTAGTAATTGTCCTTTGTAATCTAATTTCGTTCCTTCTCATATGGGATTCTTAGCATTAAATTCTCCGGCTACAAGCAAACCTTTTTGTTCTCGTAGTTGTGGTTGTAATTCTAACAGCTTCTAAATAGCTTGTATTTCTATACTATTTTCTGCACTGGTAACGAGCATCTTGTTGTTAACGTTCTTTGTTAATAATGAATCATTATAGGTTATTTTGGATTTTTCGTATGTCATATTTGGCCATTCAGTTTTTAGGATATCACACAGTTCTGTTTTTTTAATTTTTCCTTTGATTAGTATACTTTTTTCTCTCTCATTTTCTTCTGACTTCCCTCTGCTTTTATCAGTTTGGATTCCTATAGTTTTCATCTGTACCATTTGCTTTGGATGGTCTCCCTCGTCGTCTTTTTCTTCATTCTGTTTATTAGAAATCTAACTGTTGGTAACTATCTCGTCTATAGTATTCTCCATCTCTTTGGACGTGAGTTAAATTATAATTTTTTGTAGTCTATAGGTGGCTTCTTTAATTTCCTTCTTTGTATTTGTATTTTGTTGTACAACTTTCATTAGGTTTCCAATTCCTTTCTCAGCTTGTGTCGTCAGTTTTCTATATTTTTCATGCCAATTTTGTGGATTTGTTGATATATCTGCCTTGCTTGGCTTGGTTAGAAACGACATACCTGGTTTTTCTACCTTCTCTCTCTCTTGTTTACATCATTAGGAGGGGTTTCTTAATTATTTCTTTTTCGGTCTCCATCTTGTTCTACTGTTTTGTGCGTCGTACCTATTTCATTACTTTGGCTTTCACCTTGATGCCTAGGTGTAGTCTCAAGATTTTCTTTGTACCAGTTAGTATTCATGCTCACTGGTTTTGAAGATATCGGTGTATGGTATTCATCTGTTTCTCCAGTGCCAGAAGGAGTTTTAAGTATTTGGTCTATTCTTTGAAATGCATACTTTTCACTATTGTAGTCAACTTCCTCGTGAATCTTTTCATTTGTTAGGACTTTTGCATTATTTTCATCCATATCAGAACTTTTTGTGATTTGTATATTTTCCATCTTGTTCCCACGAGAAGCTAGGGATGATCGATCCGCCAACGCAGAGCCCCGCATTCGTCAGTAAGGCTACTTACTCCATGGTGTCACCAGGTACCCCGGAGGCTCCGTTTAAGACCATCTCTGCGTGGTCATTCTCCCATCGGCACGGGTCGCGTAACACCTTTAGTTGCGGATTTTTCCACAGATTGTCTCCTGGGAGGTGCCAATTTTGGTTCACGCCGGCTATTTCATTTGACCGGTACCACCCACAACGTCTACGATTTATCGATCAGGTCGTCACGCCTGAGGCGATCATTGCTAAATGTTACTAGGTACCTAACTACGATGAAATTTGGATTCTGAAACTGCCTTTATCGCCTCGGTGTTTTTTTTTTCTAATAATCTACCTGCCTTAGAGCGGAAGTAGACGAACTCCAATGTACGATTGCTGTTGACTACACTATGCAGTGACATTTTGGCAATACACAGTTTCTTATAGAATAAAATAGTCACGTGTCAACGTGCAGCAAGATGCCTATAGCTGTTTATTGATTCGTGACTATTTTACTCTATAAGAAGCTGCGACTTGAAAATGCGAATGCGTATGCAGTCGACAGTAACCGCATATTGCGGTCCGTCTAGTTCCGTCCTTGTTCTGTATGTTTTAAATTGTTTTAGAGTTTTGTATACGTTTCAACAGCCTTTAGTAATTCAATAAGAGAATATATTGAAGAGGACGTCTACGAAACGCCTTATGATCCAGATGCCATTTTTCACTTTATCGACGAGTTATCAAAAGAAGCGTTTGATGTTTTATCGAAAAAATTATTGGTAACTATCAATAATTTATACTGAAAACAAAATCTACCAAACACAATATACGTGCATGATTAAATAAGTAAATTTAACAACAAAGCATTATATTTATTTTTGGAGCATTTATTTAAAGAAGTTCGCATTTTTAACTCTTTCTAAATGGTTTTCAGGGGAACCACCCCAATACCTACACACTTACAAAAGCATTGGGAGAAAAGATCGTGTTAAAATATTCTGAAAAAATACCTTCGGCTATTGTCAGACCATCGATAAGTAAGTACATTTATCTTATTTATGATCACTTATTTTTTTAAATGTATTTTTAGTTACTGCTAAAGTACCATCGATAAGTAAGTAAATCTATCTTATTTATAATGACTTATTTTTAAGATGTATTTTTAGTTACTGCTAGTTGGAGAGAACCTTATCCAGGCTGGGTAGATAGTGTTAGTGGAATAACAGGAATTTTTATGGAATGTGGAAGGGGTACAATTAAATCAATAATGTGTAACGAAAAGTATAAAATGGATATAATCCCTGTGGACATAGTAGTAAACACATTAATTTGCGCGGCTTGGCACACAGTACAAAGCAGGTAAATTTCAGAATTGTTTTTCTGTTATCAAATATACTGTCACGATCCCCTTTCTTAAGGATCGAACGAATCACTATTCGTACTTATTTTTGAGCTACCTATCTTTATGAAATAAAAATCCAATTAAGTGCAACAACTTTATTCCACAGTAAAAAATAAACGATAAATATTTATGATACACAAAATTATATACCCAAAAAGGGGCCTTACCACAACATATGACGTAGGAGAGCACGTCCCTCTAAGGAGCTGGTTGATTACTTGTTTAAATGCCTCTCAGCGTTCAGCAGTTACCTCTGACCCCGTTAACGTTGACCGTAGAAGATTTATAGCGGGCCTGTGTTATGATTTTTGTTAATCTCAAGGTTTTCTTTAATAAACTCTTTGCATTATTTTAAAACATTATTTCTTATTATTATTATTATCTAATTTAATCTGTTTAAAAATACTGAGAGATAGTTTTTAGTTTACTAGGATATTATTAATTTAATTATATTTCAGTCTCCCAGCTTCTTAAAGACGTGACATACCACTTATAAATTTAAAAATCATCTAATATTTTATTGACTCTTTATTAACCTTCAACCCTCGTAACTGCCAATATTGACTTTTTGGAATTTTGATATCAATAAAACAATTACCTCATCCTACCTCAGATGCAGAAAGACTGTTAACTTTTCATGACAATTTTATATTCAGTTATTATGACCAAATTGTCCAATCTATTTTTAGTCATATCTTTACATTTTACAGAATGACACTCTTAAATAAAACAAGTACACAAAAATAATTATAACTTTATTAATAAGAAGAGAACCAAATTATAAAGTAATGGTCCTTCAATGATGTTTATTTAAAGAGATTTAATTCTTAAGGAGAGTTTATGTATGTCATATATATCAATAATATCTCTAATCACGTCTGGAGAAAACTTTGAATTATAGTTGTAGTGACTTGTAAAAATTACATATTTTATTTCATGACGTGTGTCAGGTACCTGGCATCCTTTTGGTAAAGTTAATTACCTTCATTGTTGTGGCAGAGCTTTAATGGAAGGGAACGATTAAGATCACCTCAAGTGACGTTGCTAGGTGTTGATTATTTATATATACGTTGTCATTCTTATTTTATTTTTGTCAAGATAACGTTTTATTTTAAAAAGATAAAAAAATCGTGCAAACACTGCCTTTCTATCACAATAACATATAGCAATAATGGGCAAGAGACAATCAACACAAAGCTGATATTTTGGGTCGACTCCACTTACACGTCAACGAAGAAGCGCTGCAATTACTGATCAACTCTACATTCAACAGAAAGATCAAAATGAAGAAGATGTTTGAGCTAGTGAAGTTAACGTTAATGTTAGTGCAAGTGTAAAACAGTGTAATAGATCATCACATCAACTTGTGATGCTTTCCTATAGAAACAATGAAGACAGCCCAATGGAAAATTTCTTAGATAAGTAATTAATTCATAAGATTTTTAGATTAAAATTGCAGGTTAGTCAATAATGACTAGTAACAATATTCTAGCTCAGAAACTGCCAGAACCAAACCACAAGTCACATTTATTGTACAGGGATTGCGTTTAATTATTTCTCGCTAGCTGCAATATATTATATTTTTCCAATATAATTTTTTTTTCGATCAAAACATACCCAGTCAATCAAATTGTCAAAACAAAAAATAGAGAAACACAGAAATAGCAAACAAATAGCAAAGAAAACAAACACACAAATAAAGCACAACAGAGAACATTCAAACAGCACAAACCTATCAAAAAAATTTAAGGGACACTGATTGCGTGGGTAAATAAAGCTAGGATTTTTTACCAGAAACAAAATACAAAGAATATTAATGTAATGCTGCAAAGAATCTTAGATAGAGTCGACAAGATGGCGAGCGTATTTTATATTTGGAACATCGTGCTCAAAGAGAGATCCCAAAGCTAAAAATGGCCAATCATCTTAGAATTTTTGAATGGAACGCAAATGGACTACTGCAGCATCAACAAGAGCTGCAAACAGTTCTGGAATTAGAAAAGATTGATATCTGTCTGATTTCTGAGACACATTTCACAAAAGAGTCGTTCATAAAATTTAATGGATATAAAGTGTACTATACAATCCAACTAGATAATGAGGTAAAAGGTAAGAGTAAAGTTATTATCACCATCAAGAAATAGGTTACCAATCATTAGAAATACAGGCCACATTTGTTAATATTAAAACAAAAACTTATGATCACAGTTTTATATAGCCCACCAAAACATGTTATTAAGAAGCTTCAATACGTTGACTTTCTGGATAGCCCCTTGGGTATCTATATCCTTATACAGATTCATAGTGGGAGAAGACTTTAATGCAAAACATACTCACTGGGGATCCCAAAGGAAAAAACTATTAGTATCATACCATCAACACAAATGTCAAATAATGTCAACTGGAAAGCCTACATACTGGCTAACAGATTCAAACAAAATTCCTGATCTTATAGATTTTACTATAATTAAATTATATACATATAGAAGAAACATGGGACAAACTCAGAGCATTCTCTCATACATGTAATCAAAAAATTAATTTTACCCAAACTAGTCAACAAGGGCAGAGACTGGAAAGGCTTCAAATTTAACCTAGAAGAACTAATTGATCTCACGAATCCATTGGAGAACTGAGGAACAATTAGACCAAGAAGTTAAACTTTTTATCAAAAATATTCAGCAAGCAGCATGGGAAAACACTCCTGAGATTAAATGAAGATTGCTAGGTAATAATAATTATCCAAAAGAAATCAGAAATCTTATCTCAAAAAAACAAAAATTAAAAGAAAATGGCAACAGTCTAGAGTACCAGATGAAAACACAACTTTAAACAATGCAACACAACAGCTAAAACGTAAAATACGGCGCATTAAAAATGAATGGATTGGCGAATACTTAAGTGAACTATCTAACGATAGAAGTACCGATTATTTACTCTGGAAAGCTACCAAAGGAATAAAAATCCCTACTATACATAACCCACCAATCAGAAATAGAAATGGAAGCTGGGCCCGAAACAATTTGCAAAAAGTCAACAGATTTGAGGAACATTTAGAAAGTGCCTTCCAATTTAATAATGGTGAAAATCTTCAAGACTGGATGAAATATCACAAAAAGACACAGTCCTTAAACCTACCTCTCCAGAAGAAGTTTGTATTGAAATTCACACAAATATAAATCCAAAAAATTTCCTGGGTTGGACCCCATTACCGGGGAAATGTTAAAAATGCTTCCACGGAAAGCTATTGTAAAAGTCACCAATCTTATTACTGCGTCCTTTAGACTTAAGTACGTACCAAAGTGGCAGATGTAATAATAATACCTAAGCCAGATAAACTTCCCCATGAAGTTACATCATACATACCAATCTCCTTGTTGCTTGTTATCTCGAAACTCAAATAAAATTAACTCCTTAAGAGAATGAAACATATAATATATTATAATAGAAGAAAAGGACCGAAAACCCCTCCCATCAGTTTGGCTTCAGAGAAAAACACTAGGAGAAAAAGTTTGCTCCACCGCCTTTTTAGATGTGCTTAGGAGCATTGGACAAAGTATGGCATGAAGGCTTGATTCAAAAACTAAACTGAACGTCAATACGGATCTATTAAAAGCCTATTTATCAGAAAGGTATTGAATTAAACAGGAAGAAGCCTACACACGCTACATACTTTCTTTCGTCGCGTGTGCCAGACATTTACTGTCATCCTTTGTGTAAAATTGATCACCAGTTTTGTCGCAAAGAATAAACTCACCTCGACCTGATAACTGAAGTTACAAGGAATTGATTATTTATATACGTTGTCATTCTTATTTAGTTTTTGTCATGATAACGTTATATTTGACAATATTATGCATTGATACGTTATCTCCATTATTTAAAAGATGACAACCAAAGACCTATTTTATAGTATATTCAATGTTTCACTCTTAATCAACCAATCTCAATATTTTTGTTACATTCTCAAATGTAAATTTTTCTGTTATATAATTTTAAAAATAAGTATCGTTATAAATAACGAGAAAATCCAAAATGCATTGCAATATTTTGAAAAAGACAAAACATTTTCAGATCTAACTCTATGAGAGTCTACAATTGCGTCAGCGGTCAAGCAAATCCGATAACCTGGAAGGAATTTAAACTTTTAACGCAAAAATATTCTAGACAGTATCCCAGTAAATACGTAACATGGTATCCAGGATTCACTTACAGGACTAGCAAGACTACGCATATCGTTTGCGCTACGCTTTTTCAAATTATCCCTTCAGTCATTTTGGACGTGTATTTGTGTTGTGTAGGAAAGAAACCAATGTGAGTATTTATCTTTTTTTTTAAGGTGAAGGGGGAGAAAAAGTCCTTTATATCTCACAAGGAAAGTTAATGTTTAATTGTTCAGTAAAACATTGAATGCGACCGGTTTCGAAGTATCATCACTTCATCTTCAGGCTCGCCTAGTGGAAAGGAGAATATGTGGTGTAAGGTGTGTTAACTTTGAGCCAACGATATATAAAATAGTAAAAAAGAAAACTCACCATACTCTCCATCCACTAGGGAATACTACAAACAAGTTTCATCAAATGTGGGGGATGAAATAAATTGTAAAATAAACAATGTTACAAGTTATATAAAAGTTAAAAATATTTGAAAAACAAATATTAGTCAGTTTAAATAGTTACAAATTTAAAATTTTCAAGACTATACAAAACAAAACACATACATTAAACAGATTAAAAGAGAAGGCTTATTTTAAACACATTGTTGTTTTTTAAAAAATAATTAGTAGTGTTACTTAACCTAACATTTTTGAAAGGAGACCTGTCAAGTTAAGGCCTCTATAGGTGGTGGTAAGTAATAACAAAAAATTCTTGGATAAACTTATGACAGGGTATAGGTAATAAGATGCAAACTATGAGTGAAGAAATATTTATTATTTATTATATAAGATTTGGGCCATGAACCAATTACCAGGTTACGTGATGTTGTAGGATAAAAAAGAAAGAAGAAGAAATGACTGGGTTAACTGTTGTGAAGCAACTGAAAAATGAAAGAAGAAAATGACAGAATATGAATATCACATAACCTAATCTTTAAACATGCTCTTTGGTTTTTTGTGGGAAAAAATTACTTACTGAAATGTACCCCTTGCAAGAAAATATGTGAATAGAAATAAAGGGGGAGGTTAAAAAGGAGTTAAAACGATAAATTTAGATTAGTGTTGAGAAAACTGGAGGAGTTTCTGACATTATCTGGGCATTTAAGCAACCAACAGGATTTAATTTTAAATTTCTCAATATCTCGAGGCTTTCGAAGCTATTAAGAGTAAATCTATGGTAGGAACTATGTAGGATTTCGAAACCTTCAGTTGTCAATGAGTATTTATCAGTTACATTTAATTAAAATTTTGTATATTATTAAATCTTTGTTTCTGAGAAAACATGAATATGAATATACGTGCGGAAAAATGCTACCACATATTACTGAGGCTTAAATAGGACGATCTAGCGTTGCCAGCAGCGTCTGATTTTTCGTACTAAATTCTGTGGAATTTTCGTAACAGATTAGGATTTTTCGTAATAGACTATTTTTTGTGGAGTTTTCTGAGAAATTATTATTTAAATGAACAAGGTGCATCAGCTGTTGCTTTTTTTTTAGTAGAGGTTAGTCTAATAAATACAACTAATGGAATTATATAAATATTATAAATTATATTTATTATTACTTGTCACTCTTGTCATAAAATAATGGAACGTAGAGGATTACGATCATGGTTGTTACGTAAAATTGATATAGATGTCGTTACTGGCCAAGTTTGCAGTCGAAGTTTTTTCAAATAAACATAAATTTGCAGAAGAAATAAAACTCAGAAGATCTGCTCCTGCTTACATTTTATTTCAAAAAAAAAAAGAACAAATATTCTTGCAAAAGAAACAAACAAAAAAACAAATACAAAACAACAAAAAAAACATTATTTTAAAGAGAAAAACTTCCTCATTACAACATTACGAAATATAATAAAGATTTTGTGTAACATATACTTAACTAAAAGAAATAGGAACTACAAAGTCATCACATGAAAACACTTGCACAAAAATAATAAATAGCTTCAAGTAATGTTGAGATATGATAAGTTTACTTACTTGCTCAACATAATTTTTGTATTCTTGAAAAACAAATGCACCACAAAACAAGAAATTTAGATCAATGAAGATAGAAGATAAACGGCAGAACACAAATCATAATACACATTACACATCAAATAAACAAAAACAAAAACGTCAAATTTTTAAAAGTGAGGTTAGGATCAATGGTGTGGTAGTGGCTCCAGTTTTTAAAAACGACGGCGTAATTAGAGTTATGGTGCAAGCTGCAAAACCAGTATAGCACGTACAGGGGTACAAATTTTCGCTTCTTTGGTTAATTTGAATCCATTTTTTGAGATTTTTTTAATTAGAGGCATATAGCAAAAACGTAATAGATTGCTGAGCGGCGTAATAGAGTAATAAATAATTGCCTTTAGTAATAGATATGTTACGAACGTAATAGCGCTGGCAACGCTGGGACGATCTAACCCGACTTACCTTTTTCCAAAAGTGGATGATTTCGGAAATACGGTGTGTTAAAAGTTCAATTTTGTTTTAGTTTTTCATAAATATTTTTTTTTTTAATAAATTAATTTAGACCTCATAAACGGCTGCCTAAATCAACTCTTATCAGGTATACCTTTTTGGGTAAAAGACATTGGAGAACAATAAATTTTATTTAAAAGTTAAATACAGAGTGGCTCAAAAAGTTATTTCGTTTTAAATGTGTATCAGATACCGCAGGTAATTTTTACAACAAAAATGAGAGCAGCTTTTAATTTTTTACCCCACAAAACTTCCTCTAGCCAAATATTATGAAAATACACCAATTATTAAAAAAATTATTTATGAAATACTAAAAGAAAATTAAACTTTTAACATTCTGTATTTCCGAAAGCATTCACTTTTCGACTGAGGTAAGTTGGGTTAGATCGTCCTATTTAAGCCTCAGGAATATATGGTATCATTTTTTGCGCACCTTTTAGAGACAACCTATAGATAAAAACTAAATAAATTTTAACACAATTATTGTAACACAAAAAAAATTGGGCAGAAATTAAAAACTGTTAAAGCTATTAAAAATTACATTGAACAACAGCAAGGCAAAGTTCCATTACAGCATGTGACTACAGACGAATTTCAAATAAAAAAGGAATGAAACAAGGTGACTCAATCTCCCCAAATATGTTTAACTTCGTATCAGAAATCATCATAAGAAGAACAGCACTGCAAAAAAATATCATTACAGACGACATTCAATAGTAGCAAATGAGAGATAAAACTGCATTAGAAACTTGGTATGGAAAATAGCTAGTGCAAAACCAAATATATGAAAATAGGAAGAAAAGAAAGTAATACACAGAAATACTTATAAACACAAAATCACAAATTTGAAATAGTCGCCTCCTTCAACTATCTAAGACCAACAATATAGCAACCAGGAAGGGAATGTGTAAAAAAAAGGATTCTTAAAGGAAATCAAACCTATGGCAGAAACATAAATCTTCCAAAAATTAAAGTGATCACCAGAAAAACTAATGTATAGAACATACAAGATATGTCCAAAAATAAAAACGAAGAAATAAAATTAGCAGAGAGGAAAATAATGAGTCATTCTGAGCCCAAATTTAACAGAAAACTAAGAAAGGAGACAAAACCAATAAATAAGTTGCAGACAAATTCGGAGGTGAAACGATCTTAAGATACATAAAAGCACAGTGTCTGAAGTGGAAAGGACGAGTACAGAGGAGCAGAGCTGGGTAATTACATGTACTTTAAAAATAATTACAATTACAAAGTACTTTTTCAAAAAAAGGAATTAATTACAAGTACAGAGGAATTAATTACGTGTACAAAGTACTTGTTGTAAAAATAGGGATTATATTGATTTAATTACAATTACATGAAAAAAGGAATTATCAATTACTTTTATAGTTACTTTTCTAATTACTCTGCAGATAAAACAACAAATTATGATAGAATTGAGGAACCATGAACGAACCGGATCAGTGAGAATAAAATTTTTAAATAGGTAATTTAACATATTCAACTTGTGAATGGGTTCAACTATAACAGCGACTTTCTTAATTATTCCTTAAAGTTAACGATATCTTAAGGGTGGGTTGTATAGTCTTACTTAAAGTTTTTAAGACATGAGTACTAGACCGTCAGATAGTGACAGGTTTAGGTGCCCCATTTTCCCATACATCTATTTTAAGTAGAATAAAAGAAAATTTACGAGTGGCTCCTGGAGATACATGAAAAATTATATTTTCCCTAACAAAAATGAATGGTTATTTGTTGCCCATATTTCCTCGCAAGCCGTTTTCACTATATGATTAAATAATAGAACTAGGCTTGGGAAAACCAAAGGCTTTAATGTTGCAGGTGTCTAAAGAATAGAAATAAAGGCAGAATGTTCTAAGAAAAAATCGAGATTTTATCCGATTTTTCGAAGCAAGCCAATCGAATGTATAAAAACGTACATCGTCACTAGTCCGAAAATATATTTTCTTGAATGACCCGAATGTATAAGTGCATTTTGGGGTCGGAAATTTTTTTTTATAAGGAAAATCGAATTTTCCATGAGTTATCCCCCAAGAGCCATTCGTAAATTGTCTATTCAACCTCGATGTACTTTTCAACCCTCTTTAAGGCTTATATGCGAAAATGGGGCACCTAAATCGGTTACTATCTGACGGTATTTACAGTCTAAACAGAATTTAGTACTTAGGGCTTTATGCAACCAGCCCTAAGCGTATTGTTTTCTATACCATTTAAGTTCTCCTTAACTTAAGGGAAAATAAAAGTCTACAACAAGTAACAAGTAGTATAAAAAATGAAACAAGGAAGTTAATAATAAAGTGTGAGCTTTTAAAAGTTTATTGATTCGGAACAAAAATACAAAGTTCGTGTACCGAGTCGTGTACCTAAGCCTAGTTTCTTTTATATTGTTAAACCATTGTTTAAAGAGTAGAGATAGCTAGTCAGCGCGTGTATAAATTCTGTTTGACTACCTCCCATACCCTCCCGGCATAAGGAGATGGTGCCCTACTGGTGGAGAGAAGCCGAAACTGTGAATTGATCTGTTTAAAAGTAGAAATCTATCTTTATACAATAACGGCTAACCAAAATATTCTGAGAGTACGCTTTAGTTGCCATCACAAAGCACGTATCTTCTAGAGACCCCTCACGCCAATGTTAAACTTTTAAACCAAATTAGCGCCACCT